TGATGTTTGCAGCTTCCTGCGAACTTGCTGATTCGTCTTTGACAAATCTTTCTTCTGTCAGCTAATTTTTAATTTGTTGTCTTCCTTGCTGAGCATGGTTTGTTGTGACATCCATTGTCACTATTTGATATTGCTGATCTTTGCAGAACTTCTTCGTTTAGTTGTTTGGTTGGTCTCGATAATAGTTGTTTGGCCTTTAGGTTTAGTTGGTTGAGTTGATCCAACTGGTTGCTTTGGTTGATTGGACTGTTTTGTTTAGTTTGTTGCGAAGGTAAATGGGATGTTGGATTTACACCCACGCCTTCTATCAGATTAGTACCAGTCTGACCGATAAGCTTGGCCAAGTACCAGTTGCAATGGTTGTCGTTGCGAAAGACGGAATTTCACATTCCCGTCTTTCACGGGGGGGAGTATGTTGGCGATTGAGGCTTGGCATTGGGGCGGCCGGCGAGTTGGCCGTGCTGCCCTCTGCTGTGCTCGTGTGGCGGCGGTTGATTGTCGTCTGACACGTGCTGCCGCCTAGCGGACAGGGGTATTTCTCTTTCGTGCCCAGTTTTCACTACGCTGTTTGTGCTGCCATTTATTTGGTAGCGGCGTGGTGCGGCGATTTGTGCGTTAAAACGTCTCTTTTGTTTACACGTGGTGAGTAAGTGATTTCGGAGGTACCCGCCCAGTTTCGCGTCACTTGGTCGTTGATGCTCTTAGGGTTCGGAGTTCGGATTGACACGGTTTTGGCTTGATACCCCGCCCCCCTCCCCCTTTGACCCGCTGGAGGATTCGTCCGCTCTTGTCTTGTTGTTGGAATTGGACTAGTTGTTTGCTCGAGAAGATGACTCTGTTCATTAGTTAGGTTAGGTATTGGTCTTTGGTCTTCTGTAGATTTCATCTTGATTTCTTTCCATTGTTACACACTTTCTTCATAAGTATTCTAGGTCTTTGGTCTTCTGGTTTATTTAGGGTTGTTTCTAAGTTATTCAATTTTCCATCTTTTGCTTGGTTGGTTGGTTACAGATGATGTTTAGAGGTCGCACATTTCTGCGACTTTTCATCTCTGATTTTGTTTCTGGCCGTAACCTGAGTAGTCTTCCTGCGAACTGATTTGGTTGGGAAAGCCAGGCAGTGGCGGCGGAATAGGGGGTGCAGGGGGTGCAGCTGCACCCCCATCGAAAAACATGGGGGTGCAAACATATCTTTTTTGCACCCCCAAAATCCATACAAGGGGCCCGTCGCTCCATCCAATACATTTTCTCCTGAAAACCAGTGATCGGGAAACGAACACTGATGTGGAATCATCCGGGGTGTCTATTTATGGTCAGGAGCGCCCCATGCTAGTCGGGGCCTCCACACCGGCTAGAAGTGTCCCGAGCCGCGTTTGGTGCTCCTCACGGCATCTGAGGGCCCCCACGACGGCCTCAGAGGGCCCTTTTATGACGATCTCTGAGGGCTCCCACCTGAGGGCTTTGTCCCCTGGGGCCCTACAACGGCCACTAAGGGCCCTCGTGACGACCGCTGAGGGTCCCACAGAGACTCCAGGGGCCACGCTGGCCTCTGAGGGCCCCTATGACGGCCTCTGAGGGCCCTTACGATGATCTCTGTGGGCTCTCACGACGAACTCTGTCCCCTGGGGCCCTATAACGACCACTAAGGGCCTTCATGACGACCGCTGAGGGTCCCACAGGACTCCAGGGGCCCCACTGGCCCCTGAGGGTCTCTACGACGGTCTCTGAGGGCCCTCGTGACGGCCCTAGACCCAACTCAAGTCTGAGGGCCCATTTGGCTTCAAGCGGCCCAGCGACGGCCTCTGAGGGCCCCAACACAACCAGGCTGCGGGGGCTATGCTGGCATCTGAGGGCTCTGCAACGGTCTATTGAGGGCGGCAGGGCCCTAACAACGATGGCCTGCGAGTCGTGGAACTCAACCGGAAGGCGCTGCCCAAGTGCACCAAGGAAGGATGTGCCCCCTTCTCTGTGTAACGAGTTTTGGTGACAAAAGTGTGCGACCCCTAAATATACTTAAATTTGGGTTTCAAGCGTATCAATCGATTCAGTTTTACGGGTAGAGTTGGGGCAAAGTCGATATGGCTGAGTTTTGAACCAACATTATTTTACCATAGTGTAATGAAACACCCTTATATATATATATATATATATATATATATATATATATATATATATATATATATATATATATATATATATATATATATATATATATATATATATCAGAGAGAGATAGAGATAGAAAGGTATCAGAATTTACTTGTAAAAACACCGCTAATTATTCAGTACCTAAGGTTGTGAAAAATCGTTTTAACAACGTGTTGGCGACCACCAGCTGACAACGTGAACAGTCGAAGTGTAAAAATATGTCAAATTTAACGATGAAAACTGAATATGCGCATTGAAAGTCAAAGGAAATGCATTATATGGCCATATATGTCACCATGCATTATCAAAATATAATGCTGCAAGTGCGCGGTTGCTGTAACGTACCAATAAAACGTTGTCACGACGTTTTACCACGACTTTCGGACCAAACCATGGCTTCACAACGTTCAGAACGTTGCTACAACGTAGTTAAAACGTAATTTCGCACCTTACCGAAACACGACGTTGTGACAACGTTGTAGTAACGTTTTCTGTTAGCTGGGTAGTACCCATTAGGAGTCTCACAACTTGCACATCTCGGATTTTTCCTAAGGTCATTTTCGTGACCTCACCATTAGGTATAAGTCAATGGGGATAAACTGAAAACTTTTTCTGGCGCCGTAAACGATCTTCAACTATCTCAAGCACACTGAATCTTTCATGCACTCCTTGCAAGGTTCGATGCGTCACTTTTGCAATGTTGACCTTGCGCGACGTCATTAATGAAGTTATAAGGGCCATATAAGTTTGTCGTCAATAACTACCGATCAAATTGAGCTAGCGAGTCGGGGAAGCCATCAATGGACTCAGGAAGACCTGCCGAATCGAATGATATGCGACATGACCTCCTTCGACCAATTTCGTGACCTGGGGGCGCTGACCTGACCGTGACCCGTGGTCAACACCCTCAGTTTACCTCACCCAAACAAAAAGTACATCATTCGACGCGCCTGAGAGAGGCGAACACGATGCTGGCAAAATCGCGGCTCTGCGGCCGTTTTTTGCGAAGTTATTCACCAAAAACGGAACCGTGCCTTGAGACACTTGACCTGACCTCAGAGGTCACCGGTTGACCTAGAACCTTAAAATCGGGTATCGATCTCTGCGTCTTGTAACGGCGCACACGCTCGTTTTTCCGCGACGCGCTAGCTCAACCTGGGGCGCAACGGCGAGGGGGTCGTACCCGCCCCCCGCCCCCTCGGCCGGCGCTTATGTAGAAAACCTATAGGTCCGGTCCGGCGAGAGTTGAACTGGCCTCTGATGGCCCACACCGACCTCTAAAAGTCCCACACCGGCCTCTGATAGTCAATCAGCCCAGTTGCAGTGGTCGCTGATATAAAACCTCTTAAAAACGTTACAGGTCTGGCGAGCCTAGCTGGGCCGTTCATGCTGATTTTTATAGGTATATTGAAAAGACTCGCTTTGCACGTTTCACGCTTGCTCGTAATGAAAAAGTTGCTGGATGCCTCTGGAATTTGCATGGGTGCCAACGGCTGCGGAGGACAGGGGAACGCGTCCATCAGATTGAGTTTATGGACGGGAGTCTCCCTGAAATTTTAACCAATTTTGTTTTTGTTTTTGTCTCGATTTTTTATCTCTGATCATGTTGGCGAAAACAAAGTGGCCGAAATCCGAGGAGAAATCGGATTTTGGGGGTAGGTTAGGTTTTGGACCTCTGGGACCTTGCCCCCCCCCCACTTTCGAAAACGTTCCTACGCCTATGCGGCCTTGCCTAAAACAACGCTTCTGGGGATGGCCAAGATTCTTACAGATATCTTAGGGGATGGCGCGCTGCTACGCGCCCTAACCCACAACAACAACAACTTAGGGGATGGCGCGCTCAATTAACCCTTGGCGGGCTTTTATATGGCGGTCGTAGCAGTATGGCACTTCAGGCATGTTATAGTACATAGGCCTACTCATAATATACCTGTCCGATCTTCGGAAATGCGGACTAGGTACTAGATGTGATGCAAATTTGGTCAACCTCAGCGTGTACCCTTTAGGCATGCGTTACGAGGTTCACCATTTTTACTAACGCCGGGCGCCGCGCCATTATGCTGGGGCGAGACGTGATGCATGTGCATTCAATCATTCTACATCCTTGATTTCAAAATGGTTCACGTTTCTTATCAGCCAAAACATTCTACATTTCAGGTCCACTTGCATTCTGGCATTCGGTATTGGCATATTGATGTTGATTTGGACCTCTCAACTCGCCGGTCTGCCTTCTCCTGACTGGTTCACAGGCTCTTCGACTGCGAGGACGTTTGCTCCAAGCATTTCTAGCTTGAGTCATGCATTCGATTTAAAAACCTAAGACAATCTTGAGGACAAGCCACCACCATTGTATCAACAGCAATAATTACACCGCAAAGTTTATTCACTTATTTTCAGCGATCTCAGCTTGGATCACAGAAACGGCAGCACCAGTCACCACGCCATGACGTGCACGGATCGGGGACCGTACCGGACCCGACCCGGCCAGACCCGACCCGGTCTGACCGGACCCGACCTGGCCGGGCCGTACCTGAGCGGACCTGACCTGGCAGACCCGGCCAGACCAGACCGGACCCGACCCGGCCAGACCCGACCAGACCCGACCGGACCTGACCTGAGCGGACCTGACCTGAGCGGACCTGACCTGGCCGGACCCGATCCCGTCAGACCGGACCTGACCTGAGCGGACCCGACCTGGCCATACCCGACCAGACCCGACCCGTTCTGACCGGACCCGACCTGGCCGGGCCGTACCTGAGCGGACCTGACTTGGCAGACCCGGCCAGACCAGACCGGACCCGACCCGGCCAGACCCGACCAGACCTGACCCGGCCAGACCCGACCTGGCCGGACCAGACCCGACCCGGTCAGACCGGACCCGACCTGACCTGGCCGGACCCGACCTGAGCGGACCTGACCTGGCCGGCCCAGACCGGACCTGGCCTGAGCGGACCTGACCTGACCTGGTACCTGAGCGGACCTGACCTGCCCGGCCCAGACTATCGGATGAGTAGAGCGACACTAGTCGGGCAAGCATAGCATAGGTTATTCGGCGATATAACAATAGAAGTTCAGATAAATCCTACATTGTCAAATATACACATCGATGTATGCACTCATCGCTCGCATTAATTCTTACAAGAATCACAGCCAAAAACAACAAACCAACGGCAAACACAAATTTACCGATCAGCCTACTCACAACGCAAGATGCAGCCCAGCGCGCATTGTAGCTGACTGGCTGCTACAGAAACCAAGGTAGTTCTGAGCTAAACATGAGCAGCACGAGGCAGAGTAAAAGCCCAGGAATCAACCCAAGTGATCAGCTGCCTGTGGAGGCTAGACTTGACGCAATAACGATCACAGGACAGCGCATTGAACTGCAGCTCAGTGCACCCGAGCAGCTACACCAGTACAGTAGCACCAGAGCACCAGTACACTGCAGCACCAGCGTACCAGCGCCAGAACAACAGCACCAGTACAGCCGCCCCGAGCAGTCCAGTACAGCCGCCCCGAGCAGTCCAGTACAGCCGCCCCGAGCAGTCCAGTACAGCCGCCCCGAGCAGTCCAGTACAGCCGCCCCGAGCAGTCCAGTACAGCCACCCCGAGCAGTCCAGTACAGCCGCCCCGAGCAGTCCAGTACAGCGGCTCAGAGCAGTCCAGTACAGCGGCTCAGAGCAGTCCAGTAGAGCGGCTCCGAGCAGTCCAGTAGAGCGGCTCCGAGCAGTCCAGTACAGCCGCCCCGAGCAGTCCAGTACATCGGCCCCGAGCAGTCCAGTACAGCCGCCCTGAGCAGTCCAGTAGAGCGGCCCCGGGCAGTCCAGTAGAGCGGCTCAGAGCAGTCCAGTACAGCCGCCCCGAGCAGTCCAGTAGAGCCGCCCCGAGTACCAGTACCTACAGCGGCTCAGAGCACCAGGCGGCTGAGCGCGTGCCGGCTGGGCCCGGCGCCGGCCGGCGGCGGGCGCGCTCCCCTCCGGCCCGGGCCGAGCGCCGCCGTCCGTTTGGCGGCCAGCGAGCGGCGACAGACGGCCCAGAACGAGTGCGGCCGCAGCTCGGCCGAGCCGGCCGTGAACCGCCAGCCCATGTGCTGGCTGCAGCGCACGCACTGGGCGATCTCCCACAGGTAGCTGCCGACAGGAGGGACGGTCAGCAGTCTCTCCCAGTCAGACGCTCCGTGCACGGATCCCACCTTACAGCCTCTCACAGCAAACCTCCTTTTGGGTTCTTTTTCCTTTTGAGCAGACATTTTGGATAAAGACATATGTTTTGCAAAATCTTACTTTAGCGGTAACAGCCGAGTAAAACGACACTTTATGAGGAGGCACCAGCTGCTCCTGACAACTCATTTACACGTGAACGCCGACAATCTGAGGCTATGCTCGCATCGCTCCCCCTCACCCCGCTCACCACCCCAGGCGGATAGCGGCGCCGTTTGGGTCCAACAACCGAACGCTCACTGGTCTACCAGGTCATTAGTCATTAGTCGACTAAACGTACGCATGAAATAACGACGAACAAACCCGCTGCAACTACCCCATAGAGAGTGGGCGATCCGAACGACGATCCGACCGTCACTGACCCGGGGAACCAGCAGTCCCATTAACTTGACCCGGGAAACCAGCAGAACTCTGTGTCACTGACCCGGGGAGCCAGCAGTCCCCTTCACTGACCCGGGGAACCAGCAGCGCCCTGTGTCACTGACCCGGGGAACCAGCAGAACTCTGCCGACGGCCGGGTGATGCAGCGCAGTCCGGTGGCGCGCCGCAGCGTCAGCGTCTCGTGCAGGTGGCCGTTGGGGTTGACGAAGATGGACTGCGGCCCGTCGGCAGACATGGCGAACATCTCGTCCGAGCTGGCCACCGGCTGGTCGCACTCGGCGCAGTGCATCACGTTAAACTGGACACACACGGGCGTAGCGTCCGGTTACACTGGACATAATTACCGCGCCACGGTATACTGCAAATACGTGACGCACCCCGCTTTCTAAGAAGAAATGCAAAAGGTCAGACTGGCAATGTTTGCTACATTACACCACCCCGTCCGCCAAATTACACCGCCCACCCGTCCACCACATTACCCGCCCCGTCCGCCACATTACACCACCCACCCCGTCCACCACATTACACCGACCCACCCCGTCCGCCAAATTACACCTAACACCACCACATTTCGTCGTTCCACCCCATTCGCGACATTACACCCCCGCCCCCCGTCCGCCACATTACACCACCACATCCCGTCCACCACATTACCCCGCCCCGTCCACCACATTACACCCACATTACACCACCCACCCCCTCCGCCACATTACACCACCCCGTCCACCACATTACACCTTCCCGTCCGCCACATCACCCCACCACATTACACCACGCCACCCCGTCGCCACATTACCCCACCCCGTCCGCCACATTACACCACCCATCTTGTCTACGACATTACACCACCCACCCCCTCCGCCACATTACACCACACACCCCTCCGCCACATTACACCACACACCCCTCCGCCATATTACACCACACCTTCCCGTCCGCCACTCACCGACTGCATAATGCTGATCTCACAGCGCAGGCGTCTCACCACGGAGTCGAGCCGCATCAGCATCGCCCTGCCGGCCGCCCGACGGCAGAGTCTGTTAGGCGCGTCAAATCCCAGTGCGGGCCACCTCGAACGGCAACAGCCACGAGCAGCAGCGTCTCATCCAGCGGCGACCAGAGCCCACACACATACGGAATAAGGAACCCAACCGACTATGGTAGACCCGCATGTATGATAAACTATTTGTGGTCGGGACACTGTCTCAGGGCAGCGCCGTGTCGCCGCCGGCCCTGTCCCGAGTCTCACCGATACGTGTCGTATCGGTGGCAGCGCCGTGTCGCCGGCGGCCTGTCCCGAGTCTCACCGATACGTGTCGTCGATGGGCAGGTTCATGGCCACCCAGTAGGAGAGCTTCACCGGGTCGGTGGGCACAGCCTCGGCCGAGCACAGCAGGCACCGGCGCGCGTCCGCGTGCGCGCGAGCCGCCACCCGCTGCACGTCGTACATCTGGTAGAGCCAGGCCGGCCAGCCGGCGACGGCCGCCTCCCGGCCGGAGTGCCGCGGCGACGCCGAGAGCCGCTGCCGCCACAGGGAGCCGGGCCGGCTCAGCGCGAACGGGCCCGCCGGCAGCACGTCCGCCAGAATGTGCACCGTGCCCACCCTGGTCCTGGCCGGGCGGGGCAGACGGGACGGTGAGCCCCGAGCGCCGGGAGGGGTGCTGGCCAAAACCCGCAGCGCTGCGGCAACTCATACATACGGCTAGGTGGGTACGTCACGACGGGCGACTTGATGCACAGATAGCTACGGGGGACGTTCAAAAAGTGCCCGGTCCCACCATGAATGCGCAGGGATACGGCATCGACTGATTAGACCAAAAATATTCCTTTATCCAAAATCCAAATAATCTCCGTTAAAGGGACCCTCCCACCTTCAAAAAAGTTTATGAATTGGCATGAAAGTGATGTCGCTCGGTTCAGAAAGAGCGAAAACGAATATCTACCAAATTTAACCGAAAAATATTCACCGGTTTTCAAGATATTAGACTTTTACTTTTGTTTACTTTATGGGATCTCCGCTGTTCCTAGCGACTTTATTTGGAAGCAATAGTTTGGCAGCTGAAAGTGCGGTACTTGTTGCGCGCAAAGCAGCATATACCACCGCGTGCTACAAAACATTTTAGTCAAACATTTAAAAAACGTTAGATATCTGCGCTGACGTCACACATTCAGAGGGGTATTCCTATGCATTAGCCCCTCTGAATCAAAATGCTGCAATTTTGAAATTTATTATGGCTATCTCAACTCAAATCTAATGTTAACCCTCGCCGGCACAGGGGGGGGGGGGGTTGATGCAACCCCCCCCCGTAAGGTTTTTCGCGAATAACTCGCGTAAAAAGCGGCCGATCGCGACGAAACTTTCAGTACCCTCGCATTGATCAATTTTACACCTACCCTAAAAATTTCATGACCCTGACCCCAATGAACTTTGACCTGTGACCTCTTTTCTGTGACCATGTTTGGCCGAAATCGCGGTTCGGCGCATGTCGGCTCGCATTAGCCGCGCGTTTCCAAGCTTTTCGTGGTTTCAAACGTTCAAACATGTGATTTGATGTTGCTCCCATGCATTGGGGTGGGTGTCAAGGTCACCTGAAGGTCAGGTCAGGTCATTGACTATGGTGACCTCGGGTGACCTCGGTTCACTTTTTCGAGTTTTACATGTTTCTAGGCTAGTTTTTGGAGCTGAATTCGAATTTAGCAACCATTTGAACATTTACGAAGTAGTTTTGGTGCCTTCGTAACATGTTACGAAGCTGTCCGAGGCGGTTGACACGTATTACGAATACCCGTCACAACCCCTACCGGTTGACCTGACCTGACCTGACCCGACCTGGCCTAAATGCTTAAAGACATCATCTATGATCAAAACTAACACGATATTCGTGATCAGCACCCCGGAAAACCACATAGCAGCCACACTTTACGACTTTCTAACAGGTCCCGATTTTCCCGATTTTCGGGTCATTGACCTGACCTGGAAGGTCACCCGATGACCTAGGACCTTAAAATTGGGTATCATCGGCTTCCTCTCGTGACGGGCAACACGCTCGTTTTTTCCGCGAAGCTCTAGCTCGATCAGGGGCCAAACGCGAGGGGGGTCGTACCAACCCCCCCCCCCCCCTTGTGCCGTCGAAGGACTCAAAATGACCTGTGCCGGCGAGGGTTAAGGTGGGAGGGTCCCTTTAAGACCAGTATAACGCCTTTTGGGGCGACTAACGGAGCGAGCGAGAGGGTGAGCCTTGCACGTGCGAAATTTCGAGGGGGTACCTCCAACTGACTTGGGCACGGCACTAGAGCACTTCACAGATAGGCTTTTTAGGATCCGGCCCGGCCCATATCCGGCAAGTCATATCCAGATCCGCCCATTATCCGCCTTTCTTTGAATATCAGAATCCGGCCCACCCATGGCCCGTATTGCAGCCAAACTTCCAAAAAATATCCGTAATAATCCGTTTCACCAATAACTGGTTTCACCCAAAACTGGACTAACAAATTCAATCTAAGGGACCAGACAGACATACATCTCATAGACTATCATGGTTCCAAAAACCATGCGTACATTGCATACATTATCCACTTGAAGACAAGTCTTGTGCCAAGTGAGTGTCATAAAATGATGCCTATTACTTTAATCAAACCTCTGCTGCCGCTTAACACATTAGGTTAATTTTTAACTTCAATGTTGAATGTTAAAATTTTGATCCGTTTTGATCCGGGTTCAACCTTCAATTCCCAAATCCGGCCCGCCCATATCCGTTCTTTTTTAACAAATTTAGAATCCAATCCTATCCGATCCGCGGATTTATCCGTGGATAACGGATTTATCCGGCCAATGATGTGCTCTACACGGCACCCTACTAACCGGTCTCTAGCGATGTGCCAAATTTGAGCACAATCGGCCCAGCCGTTCTCGATATCTGGAAGCGGCACCCTGCACGTGCGCACGTGCAAAATGGGTCCCAACTGACTTGTGCACGGCACCCTAGTAACTGGTCCCTCACCGTGTACCAAATTTGAGCGCCATCGGTCCAGCCGTTCTCGAGATCTGGAAACGACCCCTGCACGTGCGCACGTGCAGCAGCACCCCTACTCTGGCACATGGATATGCAGTGCCTAGTGGGGGCCTACCTACATGCCAACTTTCAGCGCAATCGGCCAAGTAGTTACCAAGATATTGCAACAATTACAAAACTGACACCTCTTCGTTTTGCACGTGGCACGTGCATAAGGGGTCACCCACATGCATCGGGAATAGTCCAATACTTGGTAGAAGGAATGAAGCTACCCTACAAAAATTACCGCATGTAAATCGGTCAAGTGGTTGCTGAGATATAAGCCTCGCAAAAGCGTCCGCACGGCCGGCCGGCCGCTCATACTCAGAAATTTCAGTTAATCTAAGGAAAGACTACGCTCGCTTCGCTCGCTCCGTAATAAACACATTTCTCGCAGCGCTTCGCTAGAGCCCTCAGGGCCTCCTCAACCAAGTGGGTTTCTGACCGGGAGGGGCCGGAGCAGCACAGGGAGGAGCAGGAGCGTCCAACCAGCAGGAGCAACCAGGAGGAGCAGGAGCGACTTGGAAGGTCCAACCTAGTCCATCCAAGTGCGTGATGACCACCTTCACGCTGGACCCCAAGGAGTGCGGCGGCAAGGTCAAGCCCCAGCTCAGCTTCTGCGACCATCCGCTAGGCTACGAGGAGACGCCCACCTTCCTCGGCCTGAAGTTGGACTGCCAGCTGACCTTCGCCGCCCACATCGCCGCCCTCAGAGAGAAGATGGCAAAGCGCCGTGCTTGCCTGTCAGCGATTGCCGGAAGGAGCTACGGAAGCCACCGTAGCACACTCCGCATCGCCTACAAGAGCTACGTGCGCTCCCTCTTCGACTACGGGGCGGCCATCTACTTCACCCATGCGGCACCGGCTGTCCGCGAGCGCCTGGAGGTAGAGCAGCGGAAATGTGCGCGCCTGATTACCGGCTGCATCAAGCTCACGGATAAGGAGACCCTGGTGGCGGAGGCAGGCCTTCCCCTGCTATCACTCCGTACCAAGGAGCTAGCAGCCGGCGAGTACGCACGCATAGTCCGTCTACCTCCGGGAGACCCCGCTCGCAACCTACTGGACAAGACACCACCACCGAGACTCCGCTACCGGGCCCACGAGGCATGGAGGCGCGCGGTGACGTCTGCCGAAGAGGCGGGTCTGCCACCGCCGCCACCGGCAGACGAAGACGCGACCCTCTCATTCAAGCCATGCTTCCGTCGGGTCGGTAGGTGGATCTGCGACAGGGCGGGCTTGAGTGACCTCCCAGTGGAGCCCCTGGCACTTTACCAGGGCGCACCACCCTGGCACCACTGTGGAGACGCCGTCCGTTTCGTGCTGGACCTGCCGCAGCCCACAAGGAGGACAGACCTGCCGGAAAAGAGAAAGGAGGCGGCGTTAGCGGCGCTGGCCCTCGTCCCCGATCCAGACTGTACCATCTGGTCGGACGGATCCGCCAAGGAAGGCACCATCCAAGGCGGCGGTGGAGCGATCCTGGAGCTTCACCGCGAGGGACGCACAATAGAGTGCGTGGCACCGGCCGGTCGAGTGTGCAGCAGTATGAGGGCGGAGCTGGTGGCAATGACGGAGGCCCTGACGTGTCTCCATGAGCTACCGGCCCCCTCTAAAGCACTCATCAAGAGAGTGCTGTTCTGCACAGACTCCCGGTCGGGGCTCCAGCTACTTAGCCGCGGCCCGGACGACCAACAGTCGGCCATCGGTCAGCGCGTCTGGGGCCTTATAGACGCGCTGACAGCCGCAGGGAAGGATATCACCCTGCACTGGGTCCCGGGCCACGCCGACCTCGCCGGCAACGAGGCAGCCGACCGCCTCGCCAATCAAGCCGCCGCCGACTGCGCTCAAGAGGAGGCTCCGATCGACCTCTCCAGCGCGCGGACAGCCATCCGTCGCTGGACATCGGAGCTGGCCTCCGCAAGGGCGCAGCGGCACCCACATCGAGAACCTACTCCGAGCCACGATGAGCTGGACAGGTGGGGCCAGGCCACCCTGTCCCAGCTTCGCACCGGCTACTGTCCACTGGTGCGAGCCACAGCTCATCGCCTCGGCCTGGTCGAAGACCCGACCTGCCGAGCCTGCGGCGAGGAGGAGGAGGACGTGGAGCACCTCCTGGCCGGGTGCCCTGCACACGTGGCGGCGAGGGCCGGCTTCTGGGGGCACTGTCCGACCCTGGCGGAAGTGCTCTCGGGGCCGGCCCAACACATCATCAGCTACCTGAAGAGAGTGGGGCGGGTGCAGGTCGCCACCGACCCGCCCCCGCCGGCCGCGCCTTAAGGCGCGGTCCGCGACCGCGCAGAAGAGAGAGAGAGGAGCAGGAGCGGCACAGGGAGTGTCAGGATCGGCACAGAGAGGGGCAGGAGCGGCACAGGGAGGGGTCGGGACACAGGGAGAGACAGGAGCAGCACAGGGAGTGTCAGGAGCGGCACAGGGAGGGCAGGAGCGACACAGGGAGGGGCAGGAGCGGCACAGGGAGGGGCAGGAGCGGCACAGGGAGTGTCAGGTGCGGCACCTACCCGTCGACCGTGGTGCGGGTGGAGACCAGTCTGAAGCGCTGCCGTCCCTTGGCCTTGATGGAGAAGGCGGTGTAGGCGTCCTGCGACTCGTCGCGCACCTCGTATATCTCGGCCGTCGTGCCGATGGTGGGCTCGGAGGAGCCGTCCGGCCGGACACAGCTGCCGACCGGTCACCGGTCACCGGTCACAGGGCAATCAGCAGTCACAGGCTATTGGTCGCTGCTCAGAACGTTGGTCAGTGGTTACCCAAACGGCAACAGCCACAGCCTCAGGTCATATTAGATGGTTCAGTTGGAAGACTTAAACGCACAAGAACGGAACAAATTCAATTTCATTGTTTCATGGCATGCATCACAACTCATTTACGCTATCCACCCCAGCCACATGCCGACCGACAGCTGCCGGTCGGCACGGCGCAGCGGCGGCCGCCCTACTTTTCGTTGATGAAGCCGAACGTCTTGTTGTGCGCGATGGCGCGGCGCACCATGGCGACGGCGGCCGGGTGGAACAGGGTGAGCGGCAGCGTCTGGCCCGGGATCAGCATCACGGCCGAGTCGTAGAGCAGCGGCAGCTCCAGCGTGCTGCCCTCCTCCAGCACCGTGCGGCCCGACACCTCCTCACCGTGGCCCAGGTACTGGGGGCGCCGGCCGCACCGGTCAGCGGAGAGGGCGCCCTGCCGACGCCCCGGTACTGGGGGCGCCGGTCGCACCGGTCAGCGGAGAGCCCCCCCCCCCGCCGCACCAAGCGCGCCGCTCATCACACAGCCGTCAGCGGCGCCTATTGACACACGTGTTGCAGCAGGAAACAGTCGCACCCAATGCACAGAAAGGCACCGGCAGTCGGCCTTAACCCTATTAGTGGCAGGGGGGGTTGTTTTCATCCACCCCTCAGGTTTTTTCGGGAATATCTCCGAAACCGCTGAAGCTACGATACTGAAATTTTCTGACTTTTCCTAAAACTAAATTGGGCACATTCCCTGAAACTTTTAAGTTCATAACTTTACCAGGGGCGGCTCCAGAGTACTGGGAATTGGGGGTCCTATTCGTGAAGCGAGTCATTTGGGCGAAGATCACGATGCTGAAGTATTATAACTGTATGCACCAGTTTTATGAACAGTGAATGAAAGGTATCATGTGATAACATACACAAAGTTATTGTGCATCCTCTTTTGACACGTTTTTGCTATAATAGGCGGACCCAGGCGTCCAAAAAGGGGGGTTGTGTTTTACCTCCCAACATAGGTGCCCTGACACCGCCTATGCAAGCCCAATACAATTGTAGTCGTTCTCTCATAAGAAAATTGTAACATAACAAGACCATTACCACCCTTTTTAGAAACAGTACCAACAAAAACCTTATTTACTATACTTTGTGTGTACCCCCAATCTCAATTATCTGTATCCGCCTATGATTTTTGAAAATGCATATTTTTAGGATCCATATGAATTCCTGGTTCATTCTCTATCGATCGGCAAAAGTTGCGTTAAGATTGGTTCAGAAACCTGGCCGTGATAAACAGTCTAAAATGTATCTGCAATTTGCCCGTTTTTACCCCCCTCTACCCCCTTTATTGACATTTTTTAATTTTTGTTTTTTTAGAAATGTAGATCACGTTGAGCGAAATCGAATGCCGTTTGAATTTTGAAAATCGGCCCGTTAGATCTCGAGATATCAGGGGGGGGTCGTAAACAGCCCCCCCTGCCACTAATAGGGGTAGCCAGGAGCCTGCCACTAATAGGGTTAAAGGGACCCTCCCACCTTCAAAAAAGTTTATGAATTGGCATGAAAGTGATGTCGCTCGGTTCAGAAAGAGCGAAGACGAATATCTACCAAATTTCATCGAAAAAATTCACCGGTTTTCAAGATAATAGACTTTTACTTTTGTTTACTTTTTGGGATCTCCGCTGTTCCTAGCGACTTCATTTGAAAGTGCGGCACTTGTTGCGCGCAAAGCGGCATATACTACCGTGTGCTACCAAACGTTTTAGTAAAAGGTTTAAAATCGGTAGATCGGCGCTGACGTCACAAATTCTAAGGGGGCATTCCAATGCATTAGCCCCTTAGAATTCGAAAACTGCAAGTTTGAATTTCCATATCTCCAAATTAAAGCATTTTTCGATGTTGTGAGTGCCAAACCGGTATTTTCAGGCCATGGCCATCAATTTGGCTATCTCAACTCAAAACCAATGTTAAGGTGGGATGGCCACTTTAACTTAAATCACATCATTAAAATCACAAAAGTTGGAAAATCTGAGATTGCAGTTTTGTAGCGCCGTCTTTTCTCTACACGACCATATAAAGAACTTTGAAATTGCTCGTTAACTGTAGCTTTTGTCAGCGTTTCAAGGCCTCATGTTTTTTGCTCATTTTTCCTCGAACATGACCTCAGTTTGACCTCAATAACTCCTGACCTAAGATGACCTATGACTTGAAATTTTGTACGAAGGTGTCAAAAGGATGCCTCAAAAAGGTACTGAAAATTTGGCGGCAGCCGTTTTTTCGCTATTCAACAAAAACCAAAGGGGAAGGGGGCATTTGCTCCCCCCCCCCCATCATGGGGCGGGTTAACTGGCATAAAACATGTATTATTGCATGCAGGTGACTGGGGATGATACCAAACGAGAGTACGTTTCGTGGAAATTCACAAGGACATCACTTCCATCTGCTTCCTCTCGTTTTCAGTCCCTCACAGCCAATGTTCAAACTGACCACCTTCGCGAGACAGGCACAGAGCGGCCCGACTGTGCCTGTCGTCGGCTAGCGCGATAGCCCGACGACACATGTCCGCTGGTTTGACTCACACAGCCTGGGTGATCGCTCTCTTCAGGTCACAGAGGCCTACTGGACCTTCCTCCCTTCCTTCCTTGTAGACCTGGCCCTTGAGATGACCCCAGAGGCAAAAAAAAATCCATAGAGGTCAGGTCAGGTGAGCAGGCAGGCACTTCAGTTCCAGGATGGGAGCTGAGACACCGTGACCATCGACCAACAGCGCTACCAGGCGACGCAGAAGTTTTGGACGCGATCCCAAACGAAGTAAACTGAGGTCCATGGACCTCAGTGGTTCCAGCCAGGACGTTGCGCCTCCTCACATTGCGAAAACAACGCTAAGTGGATCGTGGCCCGAAAACCACTTCGGTGACCGGCTGACATCCCGCAGTGCCAGTCGGAACTGGCATGCCTGCTCGCCCGACACGACTGACCCCTATGGATCTTTTTTTTTCCTGTGGGATCATGTCAAGGGCCAGATCCACAAGGAAGGTCCAATTTAGGCCTCTGTGACCTGAAGAGAGCGATCACCAAGGCTGTGCGAGTCATACCAGAGGACATGTGTTGTCGGGCTATCGCGTCAGCCGCCAGGCGGGCCGCTCTGTGCCTGTCTCGCGAAGGTGGTCAGGTTGGACATTTGCGTAGAGAGACTGAAAACAAGAGGAAGCAGATGGAAGTGGAGCCATTGGGTTTGTTCCCGTCGCTCCTCTAACCTCCTCCAAGCTCCTCTAACCTCCTCTCGTTTAAAAAAATCGTTCCCGTCGCTCCTCCAAGCTCCTCCAAGCTCATCTTGATTTCACATCTCACCACCACTATTTGCCTCCTCCCTCATCCCAAACGAAAGTTGGTTTTTTGGAGGAGGCTCTTGCGTAGACATATTTGGCGCACGTAATACAAATGTGAATTGTTTATAAATGAGATTTGAGGGAAGTGGAAATGATTTTAGTGATTGATGACGATTTGATATCTTTAAATAGTAATGTTTGATATTATTCTAAGGTTATTTTATTAGAAAGCGATTATTATCTCTTGATTTATGTTTGCGCGCCATAAATCGCCGACCGTTACAGCCCGCAAACAGCTGATATTCTCGCGAAAATGTTCCCGTGGCTCCTCTGAAACGGCTCTCCTCCAAGCTCATCTAACCTCATCCGAGATTTTTTGGGAGGAGCGACGGGAACAGACCCATTATGAATTTTCATGACAGGTACCTTGTTTGGTATGATTCCCAGTCACATGCATGCAATAATGCATGTTTTATGCAAGTTCAAAATGTTTCCATCCGTTTTGGTCCACCCTGTAGACTGCTGAGTGACAAGTTTGCTCTCAGGCAAAAACAAGCATATTTACAATGGCATCTTGCAAGAGTCTCTAGTTCTACAACACTTCTAATGCCAAATTTAGGATTTGCAGCCTGCACAAATTTAGCTAATGCCCTTTAGGTAGAAACTATGCATCTATGAATAAATTTGATGCAAGCGATTCGTATGAATTAAAAAAAAAGTGCAGAGAACAGACCCAAGTGGGCCAGAAAGGATATAAACACATCTACACAGATCGCATTTGTCTGGCCTGTCGATTTCTATGAAAAACATAGGGTTTCGACATTGATAAGGAAAATGTCAGCTTTCTGGCGCTGCTTTAGCCACCACTGGATGGCGGGCACTCACGGTGTGCTGTGTGGTGAGCACCGGGTCAAAGGTGGCCTCCTCCACTGTCATGCCAAGCTGGTCGGGCCCGGCAGGCTCGTAGTCGCCAGGCTCATCGTACTCCAGCAGAGCGTCGGCATAGCCGCGTTCCGAGCTCTCCGAGTCAGAGGAGTCAGCCATGGCCACGCGCCTAGGCACACACACAAAATCAGCACACAGTTCTAGCGTGGCTCAGCGGCCAGCCGCGACTCAAACAGCTCAACAAGCATCCCATCACGCCACATGATCGACATAACTCAGACCATTTGTCCAACTCTGCCACAGATCTACACGCAGCAGAGTTATGAAAGCCACACCTGACCAACACATCAACGGTATCAGCATGGCGCTGTTTAAATCTGATCTAAATCTGAGGCACCTGTTGACAAATGAGGAAAAGCACCCTGCAGTGGTGGCTGAATGGCCCAGTGACAACAATTTTACCTAGGTACTTAAGGAAAAAAACGTCACTTTAACTTCAAAGTTCAAACTTCTGGAAGTTGGGGTGATTTTGAAGACCTTTGCCTATCAAATCACACATTTTCTATAGTCAGAATCTACTTCTCCAAGCTGAATTACGTGGAAACCATCGCGAAAACACTGAAATGGACAAGGAAATGGACAATTACTTTTGGTTTCGTACAACTACACTACCGGCGCCATTTCGATGTTTAAGGTGGATTCTCACCGGATGCGTTTGGACGCGTACGCATGCGTTTGCGTCGAAAAACGGATACGCATGCGTAAAACTACGCAATGGTGTGCGATATTCGGTGTGAAAGGGTCGCACCGTGAGCTCTTGCGTAAAAAGACGCGTGCGTATGCAGAAAACGCACGTGCGTCCAAAGTTGAACTTGGTTCAAGATTTGGCTGCGAACGCATGCGTAAAAGCATCTGGCGGCCATACTTTCTTGTTTATTTGCGGCACTCGCGCACATGGCCGGCGCATAACGCACGCGGCACTCCGAGCCGCCATATTTGATTTTATATTTTAATAAAATCTTGCCGATATTTTGGATGAAACCAACTGATATAGGTAGCTTATAGGGACAGTTTCATAGATATTCATATAAATAATAATTTATTGTGGTCTGGGGGTTATATACGGCTTAGAATTGAGAAGAAAGTTTTGACCCTGCCGAGATTCGAACTCGCGACCTACGCTATACGACGCCCTAATATTCCGATGGTTGGAAATTTAGTTTTCTTAATTATCATGTAGGTACTTAACTCCTAGGTAAAACCTAGATAAATAATATAACAAGAAGCAGTGTTGTGCTGATACATGTCTTTACTGCGCACTATCTGAATGCGAAGTCTCTGCTACCATATTTGAGTTCTGGGCTGCCACTGTTCAACTCCGCTGCGCTCCCCGTGTCTGCAGATTTTTACGCTGGAAATACGCATGCGTATCAGTTTTTCGACGCAAACGCATGCGTAAGCGCTCAAACGCATCCGGTGAGAATCCACCTTTACGCGCCATATGTACAAAGTGCGGCAGTATTGTAACGTTAAAAATAATCTAGAATTCCATAAAATAGAAAGAATAAATATATTGAAAATTAATATGGCCTTATAAAAACAAAAACAAAACAACCTTACCTCACCTGAGTTGACCTAACCTCTGACCTACTGATTTTTGCCTACCCGAGGTTAAAAAACAGTTTCTCACATGAATAGCTTGCAAGTCAAATATTTTTTGGTTAAGTGGTTGCACCAGGCTTCAGGCCTCAGATACACAACCAATTGACCTTAAAATATTTGACTCACCATTGCTTGTAATCTCTCCTAAGGCATTGCCTTCGGCACTGCACTGCTTCGCCCCGAGTACGGGGCAATACGTTGAACCACAGTGTAATAATTTAGTGCACTGATCTTTGATCAAATCGTACATAATTGGCGCACGAAAGGCTATCTATGGCGCATGAAGGTGTGTAGCTCCGAAACTGATACAAGAGAACTTATAGAATTTCGTTTTTTGGGGTTTTTGGGGTAAGTACATCGAATTTCAGCGGTTCAGTGCTGCCAGGTCTAGAGGTAAACCTCCAGATCTAGAGGTTTTAGGGGAGCGTTTCGGGGCTCCTGGAGGTTTTTGAAAAATGCCGGATTCTAGAGGGTTTTCTAGAGGTAATCTGAAAATTCGAGAAAAGACAATTAGCATCAAGGTCTCTTGAGAACTATTTAGGTACTTAATTTCATGTTATTATCTTTAAGTATTGCATGCTTAAACACACTTTTTTACAGATTGATGGAAACGATAAGCCTACTTTTGGCTTGTTCACTATTGAGGCTCGATCTGGCCGCCGGCTGCAGCTAAAAGTTCTCGATATACCTACCGTGGGCACCAAGGCTATGTAAACCTGGTGCCCACGGCTCTCTCTATCGTCTGGATAAAAATAGGCCCCGCCCATCCCAATCAGCTGCTGCATGACGAGTTGATGACGACAACCACTTACTTACCAGCAACCACTCTAGGGATAGCGTACGTGACAGTAATGGTGCAGCGGTTGCAAAATATTACATTGTTATTCAAACGGTTTTTGCTTATTGCATGGAGGATATGTCATTAGATGAGGTGTTGATGAAGGCAGGTATTTTTAAATATTTTTTTTTGGACAATTTTTTGCCCTTGTTCTTCTTAATAACTGAATCCGGGACCACCTGAAGTCTAAACCTTTTTTTAGATAACATGTCAATGCTGTCTTGAAATGTGAAATTTAGACAATGGTAATAGGAATAATGAATAGCCATTTCACTAACAACTTGTTAATCTCTAGAAAGTGTAACTAAAATTAAAAGCACTCTGCCACACTGCTTCGATCCTGGTCATGCAATTAATGTTCATGGGTGGTGTTTCACGGCAGAGCACTGCAGTGTGCTGCGTGTGTCGGAGCATTGGGTTTCCATGGCAGTGTCAGTGTCAACAAACTTCACTCTGACGCTAAGCTATGACAGCATCCCAGAATGCTAGCACGCTGTGGCGCCAGCGCCAGCAGCATGCTAGCAGTATTTGAACTCAAACCTCTGTTCTTGGTAGGTACTTGGTTTTTCTGGACCTCTTACTCTGTTCCAAGTGCGATTCATCATAAACAAAGAGATCACATGCAACGTCATTTGAGTGACGCTATGGTATGCCGTAGCTACCATAGCATAGCTGCCAGCGCACACAGTGTCTGGGTGGTGAAACAGGGCCATTATTAATCACATTTGCTTTACTTTGTTTCAGCGGAAACCTGTCTGCACATGGGAGGAGCACAACAAAAGCCCATCAAGTTCATGCATGGCAGTGGATCTCAACAGGAGAAAACCAGAAAGAGCATAGATGCTTAAAAATTGCAGTTGTACACTGCTGTTATCACCTGATGTGAGTGGCTGGCATTGCTGTTGGCAAGAACCACCTGCAAGTGATGAGCTGGCGCCTCAGTCGTTGAGTGTGCTGTAGTGTGAGAGGCGCCCTGATCTCTACTTCATGATTGGTTTCCATTGGAGGTTCAACTGAGAAGTGAGAACTGACTGTGGCCGTGCTGGAGCATGCCAGTGGAGCTTCACATGCTTAGAGCAGCTTTTGAACAGATGCTGACCATGGCATGTCCCATCCAGTTATCACGTGCACAGAATGGTGGGGGAGGGCAACTCTGGGCTCTTGAGTCAGTCAGCCCAGACTGCACAGGGGTACAGATGGCCGCTTACGTTTGGTGTGTCCTGCACCGCATTATCAAGCCCAGTCTGCTGCCACAGGCAATGGGTCGGGCTGCAGACTATCTTGCAAAGGAGGCTGGCATCCTCTCCCATAATGACACACCAATTGGCAATCATCGCTGCGATGATCACGAGGGTGTCCGCTTATCTGCCATGGTGAGGTGGAGAGGCAGCTGGCCTGAGGGATGGTTTTCCTTCATCCGAGGCCCCCTTTCCCCGCCTGCCAGGCCCGGTCAAACGACCGCTTCACAGTGAACGACTTGCAGTGGATGCCGTCCCACAGCGCAACGAGCGCGCCGACCAGAGGCGGCGGCCAAGAGGCGGCCGCGCTCCCCCAGTCGACGGTCCCGGTGGACGTCGGCAACGCCCACCGCGCGACCATCAGATCGGCTCGCGACCGCGCCGTCGCCGACTGACCGCATGACTGGTATCTGTTCTTGATGTGGGACCGACTGCCACCGCCGGTCGCGGAAGGGCATCGCTCATCGGCCATCGACGTCCACCAGCTTCGCGTGGGTCACTGTTCGGGCTGCCACCAATACACCGAATCGGATGGAACCCTGTCGGCGAATGCCGGCGGTGCCCCGACATCGACTGCGCGGCGGCCAGTGCATCGCGTGCCGGGAGGAGGCTGGCACCCCCGATCGGTCATTGGTCACAAACCGTGTCCCAGCTCATGACTGCATCCAGCGCAGCTCTGTGAGATGTTCTGCTGCAGTCTGCCGCGTGTGTTGAAAGAAGAATGAACATGAGAAAACCTCAAAACTTTATGCCTATTAGTATTTGACCAGTATTGGAATAAGTTTGGATTTTGAAAATTTGTGTCCCTGTGCTTGTGCCTGTGTGGAAAGGCATGCTTTACGGTGTACCATCTCAATTTGTGCGGCTGCTGACAGGCCACCTGGGTGCGAACGTATGTACGAATCCGCGAATACGTTGTGTTTCGTCAGTCGGTATCGTTCTGAAAATATTGACTGCAATAGGCTATATAGCGTATGACAGTTCAGCCCAGCAGTAATAACTGACCATTGATTGGGCGAATTTTGTGTGGTGGTTCGCTAATACATAACCTAAAGAGTGTTTTGCCGGAATCGTTTAGTAGCAGAACTGACCGGAATATAAGTAGAATGCAACGGTTTGAATCGTTAATTAGTTGAAACGATTGTTCTCTGAGACCACTGTGTAACTTTTGACCTGAGAATCACCAATTATAACGACAATGGTGGAAGCAGTAGGCACTGTAGAGTGTAGGCAGCACTATATAGTTGGTACACTTACGCAAGCACACGACTTACGCAGTGGACATCTGCAGAAGAGTGAGAAATTAGTCAGAATATAACTGACTAAGGAAAATAGGCGTATTTCCAATTGAGCTGGGGCGGAGAGGGGGAGGGGACGTATGGTCAGCTATGCCAACAATTCATTTTCGTTATGCAGCTGTGTAAAAGGGCGTCCGTTTTTTGGGTGAGACCTTCCCCATTGGCCATTTCCAAGCTAAATCGTGGTGGAGAGTCTGGAGACCTCAGCCTCGGTAGTCGGTACCCTGCGCGCTGCGCCACCTTGCGAAACATAAAGCAGCAGTCCTGACCTCTACAGGCACTACTTTTCATGAAAGCGCGGATGTGTTCGCGCTTATGCGAAGAAAATTCTTCCGAGTATGGTTGATAATGAGATTAATTGTTGTCGTTTATTTATTAATTCATTGGCAAAAGTACCCTAATAAATCGGAAAAGTAGCTTAAACTGTATCGTAATTCCTTGGGAAAAAAATGACGAATTCATCCTAAGACATCCAGATTATTGGATGCGTTCGTCAGTTGTGAGTAGTTCAAGTTTTTGGAAAAGTTTGCTTGTGGAAAATCATAATATTTCAAAGATATGCCTATTTTCGAATAATTCATGTATTTATCTACATTGAAAAATGATTGTAAAGCAAAAGTGCAATAGATTATTGTCAATTTATTTTCTCAAAACACGACTTACGAACGCACAAAACTCCAGCTTTTAATTTAGTGCGTGTGCGAATTGCGGTCAAGACAAAAGATTTAAACTGTCTATATTCCTCTTAAAACAATGAAGGATGAATGAGGAAAACGCTGTTTTGAACAATTGTAAATTTATTTTTTCTCAATTAAGCAAAAGTACAAAATTTTCAACTTTTACTTTCACTTTTAAGCATGACGTCATGTCAGCCAAACTTACTAGCGCCATCTCTGGAGAGCATCTTTCGAAACCTCCAGACGATAGAGAGAGCCGTGAGGGCTGTTCGGGTCCCTGCAGCATAGATCTGTGCTGCGTGCGTCATACTTGGGTGACGTCAACCGCCTGGCTCCGCCCACTCTCCGCCGGCACGCCGCGGCCGAGTGTCGCTGCAGCCTATTTCAAACGCGGCGAACCGTTGCGCGGGTGGACTGGTGATTGTCACTCGAATAACGGTTAAATTGCGTTCAAATGTGGTTATTAGCAATGTGCCACCGAAAAGAGTGATAATGATACCCAAAAAACAGCAAACAAACCGCTTACAATAAGAGATATCGGACGGTAAACTTTAATCCGCGCCACTTTCGCCTCCTGCAGCACCGAATTTCGTGCTGCAGGAAAACGAAGCATGCTTCAGTGGGTGACGTCACACAGGCGGTGACGCAGTGGTGTGGGCGGGACTAACGGGCGACGAAGTCCTCACTGCGCATGCGTGCTGCAGCATATTTCATTTTGGCTGCGCAGCCGAACAGCCCTGTGCCCACGGTGGGCACCAAGTCCACCAAGTTATGTGGACAAGTGCGAAGGCATGCGAAGGATGAGTGAATTATCTTGATTGGGGATACAACCGGGTGTTTCCAAGCCCGCTGCCAGCTGCTGCCAGCGCGCTGACGTCACACTTTGGGTCTGTTCCAGTCGCACTTCCTAACACATCTAAACCCCTCCAAGGGCAAGATAGAGGAGGTTGGAGCAGCTCCTTTGATTTGTAGGGGCTAGAGCTGACACTGGAAGAGGGAAGCAATCTTGGAGGAGTTTAGAGGTGTTAGGAAGTGCGACTGGAACAGACCCTTTCGTAGTGTTGGAGCAATGGGCTTGATGATGTCATCTCGCGCTAGCAGCGGATGGCAGCGTGCTTTGAAACGGCACCACGGTTTGTGATACGAAGGTAGGTATGGAGGTATATATACTTTATAATCAGCGGCAATGGAACAGAGGTTTCTAGAGGTTTTTACAACATTTTCTGGAGGTATTGGCATCACTCGACCTGGCAACACTGCAGCGGTTTGAAGTTCTGTTGTATGAAATCTGACATGGAGAATTCGATTCCAGGCATCAAAAAGTCATTCGCAGGCGGTTCGTATCTAAAATGTCGCCACATATCATACTTATACTTATAAAATGCGGAATTTAGGAAGGCCTTTTGACCTCTTGGATCCGGACGTGACGAGCTTTGTGTCAGTGTGTCACTGCATCAGTCTTTGGAATGTATGGTGTACTTGGCGTGAGCCCAGTGTTCGTCCAGCCTGGCCTTGAGGCTTGAAGCTATTGACAGAGGGCGCATCGACGACAGCGGATGGCAAAGGCCAAAGAGTTCCAGTCGTTCAGGACTCATGTGCTGAACGCGTTCTGCCGCACTCTGGAGACAGCTCTTGGCTTGGACAGCTTCCACTCATGCCCTCGAGTCCTGGTCGTCGTCGCCGCAGTGAAGAACTGAGATGGGTCAGCATCCACTCCCCGTTGAAGCACCTGGTAAACCGAGATCATGTCGCCTCGTCAGCGCCGATAGTAGAGCGATGGCAAATTCAGGCTCCGGAGTCTCTCCTCGTATGGCAGGTGGCGGATGCTGGCAACCAGTCTCGTGGCCTGTCGCTGTACCCGTTCAATGCGCTTCTGGTCTTCTCGGTTGAAGGGTCCCCAGACCACATTGGCGTATTCGAGATGGGGTGAACCATGGTCCGGAAGAGTGTTGGAAGCGTAGTCTCATCAATTACTCCGAAGGATCGACAAATGACTGTCAGAATGTGTGTCGCTTTGGCCACGACTGCGGCAGCCTGTTCTCGGAACTTGAGCTGGTTGTCTTCTTGACCCCCAGGTCCTTTTCCACCAACGTCTGATCTAACAGAGTGTCTCCCATACGGTACGGTGATTGGCGTTTCGAGGACCTAGGTGAAGAGACTTGCACCTCGACCGATTAAAAGGTAGTTGCCATTTCTCAGACCATCCGAGCAGGGCATCAAGGTCTCGTTGCATTTTGCAAAGCCTCCGACTCTGAAGCCTGGCCGAAACTTCTGTACAGGCTTCGTGTCGTCTGCGATTAACTTTAGCCCTGACGAGGAGACACAAGCGGGCAGGTCATTGACAAAGACCAGGAGCAGCAACGGACCCAGGACCGTTCCCTGTGGTACGCCACTGGTGACAGGAACCCAGTCTGACTTTGCCCCATTTATCGACACACGCTGCTGTCGGTCAGTCAAGAAGGCCCTTATCCATTCGAGCAGCCGACTCCTAATGCCGCAGGATTGGAGCTTCAATAACAGGCGTTGGTGAGGCACAGAATTGAACGCCTTACTAAACACGTCTTCGACAACTAGAGTGAGCCGCTTTTCCTGTCGGTAATTGTTCGTCGACTTCTTGATGGACCAATTCCCTGTGGAGCGTCGCAAGTCTGGACTGTCATCCTTCGCAGACAGGTGTATCCGACGTTGTCAACGACCTTGTGATTTCAGAGCGACGTCCAAACTTGATATCTTGGTTTTGTTGCCACCACTTGCGCTATTGAATGTTGGCGGGGTTTGGGCGCGGTCTTGCCGGGGTGTGACTGGCGATGATCATTTCTGACTCGCTTTCCATATTTCTCCCATTGACCCAAAACAATAGGTCACGACCACGTGAACGACATAGTCTCAGGTGACCGGAATGGAATATCCGAGACGTGCCAGTCGCTACTTTATGAGTTTCATCTACTGATATAGGTATGTATTTATCCATTTTTTGCACGAATGTGCCCCACTCTCCCCTACTGACTATGTATTTTGCGCGTTTTTTTCAGACAAATCAAGTTATACAGAATGACTCTTGTCCAGCAAGTGTCATTTTGCAGAGTATATCAATGTTATCGACAATTGTCGACCCAGAGTTACTCAAAGAAGTCTGCTAAGCACAGGAACAAAAAGTGAGTTTTATACATTCAATCACAGTAAGGCGCCTTTTTGTGTGTGTGTGGAGGGGGTGGGGGCGGAGGCAAACGAGCGAGTGCGAGAGCGAACTCTGCACATGCGGAAGTGCGACGTGGTTACTGGTAACCCTGGCTGACTTGTGCGGGACGCGCTACTAACCGGCCCCCAACGATATGGGCGTCGAAAGCGGGGGGACGCGTCCCCCTGTCCAGGAATCGGAGGGGGACGTCCCCCGAAAACTCCAAAGATGGTTTTAAAAATGACTATTTGCAATTTGCAAAGGTTATTCACAGTGCAGCCATGTAAACAGAAATAAACTTTCAAAAAGTATATTAATGCTGGTCATTTCAACCGTACACAAATAAGACCTCGGGTGAATGTAAATGTACATGAGCTATATGAGCAGCTTGTGAAATAAGGACCCGTCAGAGACCGTTAAGCAATGTTGGCGCCACAGGGGAGGGGACGGATGGATTTCCGCTCCATGAGCAGCACCGCCACATCATCAAATTTGTGGCATAGATCTTGGTGACGTTGGGGGATGTAACCAACAAGCAGACGCAGGGTGCTCTAGCCCCATAGGCGCGGAAACAGAGAGGGCCATGATACCCCACTTCTCAGCCATTTTTTTAAGTGAAATCTTTGTTTTTAATTTCAATACAAAACTAAGGCAGCAAACGGTTCAGCAAGGTGAGTTGAACACAAAAGTGTAAATAATTTAGGTATTCATAGGGGTATTGGGGCTCCCACAAAGTGACATTGAAGTTTTGCTGCCTCCCCCCCCCCACACACACACACACACACGCACACTTTTCGTGAGGTTCCTACGCCCATGTCTACCCCTCATTGTGGGGTGAACATGACAATAGTTTGTGCGGAGGGATCTTACTTCAGCAGCGGGTAGATGTGAATCAGCGGCTAGACCCGCGCCCGGGTCAGTCTCAGTTAGGTTCGCCGTGGTGAGGACGTAAATGCGCATACCTACGATTATCTCGAAGACTGACATAAAAAAGAAATACGATTTGAAAAAGCGTTCGATAGCTTTGAACTGATAGTTTCTTCCAATAAGACTGCAATAAGGCAACAAGGCTAATTCTCTATCACCTACTTACCGCTCCATTGTCCCTTTGACATAGATCGCAGCTATACTAATCTGAGTTTTGGGAATTGCTGTCACTGATATCCGTATATACAAGTCTGCGGAGGATTGATCGACTTCACCTTCATCTAAGACTGAAAACCTTCATCACAGTAACATAATCGTGATGTGACCATCAAACCACCATCAAACGGCCCTAGTCTTCCCGTGCGAGACAACCAGACAGTCGCAGGGGCTCACTATAGCCTTTGAGGGCATTATGCTAGTGAGAAAGGATCTCGTCCCGGTTTCAGAGGGACCAGGAGCTCTTAACACTCAGTTGACTGCGGGCGTACATTGGCCGGATCCCTAAAACCACCGTGGCCAACAATCTTCCCCCAGCCCTCAGGGAACTGCCGATTTTTCATATCGTCATCCTCCTCCCTTTCCAGCGAAAGTACGAGGAAAAAAATGGGGGAAACCTTTCTGAGAATGCCTGCGATGTCGGGCCCGGTTGGAGCATGCATTTCATGCCAGAGCCAGAGTCGTAGTCTCCAAAATCGTCAAGACTCCGACTCCATACTCAAAGCTGATGTCTGAGATGAGCTGAGATGTCAAAGTTGTGATTCATTCCAGGTTCCTAGTTGGTTCTTTATTACATTTTGTAGCCGATTTTCATAAGTTTTGAAATGCTGACACAAAGTTTTCGCTCAAAGCGTGACTCTAAATCTTCGGGGCCATGGTTCGGGGCCTTTCTCAACTCTGGTCGAAGGTCTGCGACAATTTCAAATAGGTACCGTTCAAGTGCAGCAGTGCTTATGAGCTTGCTTTTCACGCAGGCTCCTAAGGAGCTTTACTGCGTTCTAAGAAGCCTTCATAGGGTCCCAACCGGCCTCTGGAGTCCCACAGTGCAGTGGTGCCAATATTCTCTGAGGGCCCATACAGGGATTTTTGAGGACCTTATACATGCCTAGACTTCTGAAGGACCACACGGATCTTTGAGGATGCATTCGAAAATTTCTGAGAATCTTAACACGCGCACCGACGGGGGGCGGATATCCGCCCCCCCCCCCTGAGATTTTTCGCGAATAGCGGGAAAACTGCGGCGTACGCGCCGCGAAATTTGGTACGACTATTCTCTCGTCAATTTTACACATGGTGTGCAAGTTTGAACCTCCTAACTTTTAAGGTCAGGTCACCAGGTCACTTTGAATGACCCAACCTCAAGTCACTTTTTTGCAACTTTGTCACCGTGCCAGAGCTACAGTAGATGTCGGAGGCCTTTGAAAGTCGCAGGATGTTATTTGGTCATTAGTAGCTACAATTTGTTTATCTCGGAATTTTGATATCGGTGACCTAAGGTCAGGTTAATTTCTCGACCTCCCCATTATAAGTCAATGGGGGAAAATTAACTCCCTGTTTTTACCACTAAAACGGGTCGGAATGGCCCCATGTACCATGCATGACTTCATATACAATCAACCTTCACTACCTTGAGATCTGTTTTGCTGTTGGGCAGCTGTTAGGTCATGTGACGTCATCAAATGTCACCAAAGGTTTTTTTTTTTTGCCAATAACTCCGTACAGGAACAAGATACAGCCGCGCGGATGATCTCATTGTGTTCAGCTCGTCAAGACGCATCAAGTGGTATACATGATGACCTCGAGGTCACGTGACCTGAGGTCAACCTTTGACCTTGACTGTTCGAGGTCAACATATATATTAGGGTTGTTAAAAAAAAACCGAATTTTGGAAAAGTATATGGGCTCATGGCTCATGTGGTGCGGTATTCTTTTCTGAGTCCAATGATGCCCTTTTTATTGAAAAGTATTAACTGTTAGGGGCTCCTCAAACGGCTTAACCCTATTAGTGGCAGGCTCCTGGCTACCCCCTATTAGTGGCAGGGGGGGGGGCTGTTTACGACCCCCCCTTGATATCTCGAGATCTAACGGGCCGATTTTCAAAATTCAAACGGCATTCGATTTCGCTCAACGTGATCTACATTTTTAAAAAAATAAAAATTAAAAAATGTCAATAGGGGGGGTAGAGGGGGGTAAAAACGGGCAAAATGCAGATACATTTTAGACTGTTTATCACGGCCAGGTTTCTGAACCAATCTTAACACGCGCAGTGGAAGGGTTGCCAGTACTACGCCCAGTGGAAGGGGGGGGCGGATGTCGCCCCCCCCCTAAGATCTCAGCTCCCACTGGAGCTAGAAAGACGAAATTTGGAGGGTAGGTGGGGGCCATGGGGAACTCTGTTGTGTGTGAATTTCATGACCCTAGGTCAATATCTTCAAGGTCAAATGAGGTCAAATGTGGTCAAATCTGCCATATGAGCGACTTTTTTGCGTTTACACGCCGATAACTGAAAAAGTTACCGGCCGATTTTCTTTTTTCTTTCACTATACGAAAGACCAAACATTTGTGAGTATGTAAGGTGAATTTCTAGTTAATCCAACAATAAATATGGCAGTTAGAAGCCTGCTAAGGGTAAGATGTCGCCGGCTGAAGCGGGATCGGCCGACGCGGGAAACGCGGCAATCACAATTTTGTGTTTACACACTCATAACTCAAGTTGTTACCGGCCGATTTTCAAAATTCTTTGACCATATGATTCGCTGTACATTTCTCAGTCTTCTCACCGAATTTGACGCGAATCGAATATAATCAGCGGTAAGGAGCGCGATGTAAAGACGAAACCGTCCCGCCCCGGCACAGTCTACAATTCAGGCGGCGCGTAACGGCTAGCGCCGGCCGCCGCGCCGCCGCGCCGCCGCGGCGGCAGGATGTTTGACTTTACATCGCTCTTACTAGAAAAGTTGTGAACCGATTTTCTTATTTCTTGCACGAGAAGATCCGCAATTCAATTCTGGGCAGGTAGCCAGAATTTCACATTAATATTTTGTTTGCGGCGCGAGTTATTGGCGAAAAACAGGAGGGGTGGGCGAAATCCGCCCCCCCCTTCCACTGCGCGTGTTAACGCAACTTTTGCCGATCGATAGAGAATGAACCAGGAATTCATATGGATCCTAAAAATATGCATTTTCAAAAATCATAGGCGGATACAGATCATTGAGATTGGGGGTACACAAAAAGTATAGTAAATAAGGTTTTTTTGGTACTGTTTCTAAAAAGGGTGGTAATGGTCTTGTTATGTTATAATTTTCTTATGAGAGAACGCCTAAAATTGTGTTGGTAATGCATAGGCGGTGTCAGGGCACCTATGTTGGGAGGTGAAACATAACCCCCCTTTTTGGACGCCTGGATCCGCCTATTATAGCAAAAACGTGTCAAAAGAGGATGCACAATAACTGTATATGTTATCACATGATACCTTTTATTCACTGTTCGTAAAACTGGTGCAGCATCGTGATCTTCGCCCAAATGACTCGCTTCACGAATAGGACCCCCCAATTCCCAGTGCTCTGGAGCCGCCCCTGGTAAAGTTATGAACTTGAAATTTTCAAGGAATGTGCCTAATTTAGTTTTAAGAAAAGTCAGAAAATTTCAGCATCGTAGCTTCAGCGGTTTCGGAGATATTCCCGAAAAACCTGAGGGGTGGATAAAAACAACCCCCCTGCCACTAATAGGGTTAAAGAGGACCATGTTACGCCCGCCGACCGGCCGGTATCAATAAGGGCGAGAATTCGACGCCGCGCACGGGCGGCAGCGCCTTATCGGCACCGCGCGCCACGACATCTGCCGGGCGGCCGGCCGGGCGGTGGGAAGTTATAAGTGGGTGGTCTTTATCACGCGATCGGGGTGCGCTATCCCATGTTTTCGGGGCGGAAAGCTTCAGTGCAGCATCGGTGCGTCTGCCACGGTGGTCTGTGTCGATGGTACAGAAAATAACTCAAACAGAGCTCAGAAAAGACTGAATGATTCTGGGTAGTTGCCTCGAAACAATCCGTTTCA